TAAATTTGATGTATTTTGTATTTCTTAGTCAAATATTTTATGTCAAAGGAAGAAAATCAACATTTTTGAAAGGAATTTTATTAACTGCCATTGATGAAACAAATATAAGACGATTGAAAATTGTTTAGTAAGTATCTGATAAATAAAAGAAGGAACTTATTTTAGTTTTTTCGTATAAGTTCCCAGAAGATAAAATCATTATTCTTTTAATTAATAGAACTATTATTATTTTTTTAATATTGTATTTGTTTATATGATTATTGTCTCATTATGATATTACATAGGAACGCTTTAGAATTATTGTAATATTATTATTTTGTTGTTATAGTTATTTTAAATCGTTCATGAACATAAGGTAAACTGCTGTATAATCTTTGAAACTTGCATTTTAGTTTAGGATCAATTAAAATTTTTCAAAAGATTTTTGTCAAAAGATTTTCATTATGTTTGATAATTCTTTTTATGTTTATTGGTTATAAACTTTAACTTAAAATTCATGTTATAGTAATAAAAATATTTTTATTTTTTGTTTCATATTGAATTTTATTTAGGTATATAAGAATTATTTTTTAATTTGGCTCAAGGTTGATAAAAAAATAACCAAATATTATTTTAATAACCTCTGCAGAAAACTATTTATACAATTTATTTAGTATTATAAATCCATACTGATTTAATTATTGAATACAATCAGTTAATTTTGGTGTTCAGTGTTGCATGGTTCAAGTTCCTTTGTATGGATTTTCTTGTCACACTTAAACAAAAATTTAAATACTCAATACACTTCTTTTGCATACTGACATTAAGTTACTATAAATAATTTTTCTGCTTAGTGTTTAAGTTTTACCTGAAACATTGCATTTGAAAAGAAATCATTGGAGCAGATTGTTTTTTCTACGTCGTGCAAAAATATTGGAAAAAATATTGCAATCCATACTTGATTTTTACAAAAATAATTAATAATAGACCTCTTATTTAATCTTGTGTCTTGTTCTCTGAGTTTAATTTGCTGTGTGTATTAAGATCATTTTGTTTTTTTAATCATCCTAGTCAACATTTTATTAAGGAAAAATTATGTTTAAGTGGTTTAATACTTGTTATTGAATTTCGTTTATGGTTAATGTCCAATATGCATTTAAAATAACAGTGAAGTAGTATGATAATAAGCCATTCCGTTCATAATGACCTCATTTCGGTTCATATTGTTATAATTAGCATTATCGGTGAGTTATTACATTTTTTATCCTATAGGTGATTGTGAATGTGCTACGATTTTAACTTTACTATTTTTAATTATGTTTTATTTTACTATTTGAAACCATTTGAATTGTTCTTACTCCGATACTGTAAAAGGTAATTTATGATTATAACGTAAATTTTTGATTCCTCAAATTACATGTTTGTTTATTTTTTATTCTGATTTTGTCGTACAATACATGTTTAAATAAAACAAACTCTTCTAATATATTTAATTAATAAACGTAAAAAATTTGAGTTTAATTAAAAAATATATGATAGCGGCCTTTAAATAATTACATTTTTTATAAGATTTCGTTAAAAGCAATTTAACCTTGTACATATACATATACAATGAATTCTAAAATACTTTTTGCTGTGCGTTTTCAGATAATTCTGTGGCGAATAAAGGTTGAACAATAAACATTCTTGATAGATTGTGCTAAGTATACCTATATCTTAAATAAATCTTTCATTTAAAACCTAATCAATTAGTGATTATTTATCTTCAATGATGCGTATTATAAATAAATAATAAAGTACATTTGATATAAATACTATTTCATATAATTGTTAAACATTTAAAATTATTAGATAATATTAATAATAATAAATGCCTTTTTGATCATGTATTTTATTAAAAGAAAAATTACCTAGCAGTCTAATTTTTCGCTTTGGAGGCAATCAAATAGTTTCAAAATATTTATGTGAATGAAAATAAGCGTAACGTCGCCATTTCCGGTCAAGATTAACTGAATGTTAGTTTAAACGATTCTATCAAAATGTTTGATCACAAACTAATAAAACCAATGTCAAATACTTGTAATACTATTCACAAAACACCGTGACAATTTAATTGTTAAATCGATTCGATTTATAAATAAGGTGATTAGAGATTTCATATTAATTGTTTTAAAGAATTTGGTTCTAAAGTACAATATACAAAGGACATTTATAATACTATTAAATGTACGATTGATACGCATAATTTACAATGTACATTTTTAATTTGTGATCCTTATAATTATTGTCAAAAACTGTTGTGATTTTTTATAAAATACGTGTGCTATTGTTATTTAAATTTAAATATTGCTTTTCACAAAATTATATAAATTTCTTTGAATATCAATTTAGCATGCCAATCAGCTATTTTTTTCATTGAATATTTCTATTGTATTTACCAGAATAAGATTTTCATCATCATTTTTTTTTTTTTTTTTAAGAAACAACCAATGTGAGAGAGAATTAACTTATTTTTAAATCAATTTACTATGGTATTGTATTTGTAATTTTATATTATCAGTATTCGTTTCTAATTTAATAAAATAGTGTTTATATTTTTCTTAATGTAATGAAAATATTTAAAAATGAGGTTACATTTTTATTTAAAATTTAAAATTTATAGTAGAATCTCGATAATCCGACCCGACCGTTCGATAATCCAGTACATACAGCAATCCGAATATATTAATCTATATTTATCTGATAAATAACCTAAAATTACTATTGTAAACGATATTTAAAACTTCAGGAGAAGAAGTAGCTGTTCATTCAAACAATAAGTCACTCCACTGCAGTAGAATCCTTTACTATGTCCATTACATAGGCAGAAGATATGTAGATACAAGTGATATTTTGGTGTTAAAACAATTACAAGAAAAAATCTTAAAAGCATAATTTCAAATAAAAAAAAAAAAAATAATTTATTAAAACCTGTTCCATCAAAAGATTAATTAAACATAGTATATATGTATTATTTATATATTATAATAAAATACAATAAGATTATTCATTTTTTTAAATGAGTAATAATGTAAAATTCAATAAGTAAAAATGTGTTTTTATGTGAACCCCTATTAATCCGGCAATAGATCTGGTCTTATCTGATACTTGCCGAACTACCGAGATTCTACTGTTTAATTGTTGTCTACTAAAATTGAATAAAAACTATTAAACCAAGCAGGGCCGGATCTAGGGGGGGGGGAAGTCGGGGATTTATCCCCGGGCGTAACATTTTAGAGGGTGTAATTTTCGTAATTATTAACAACTAATTTGATATTTTTAACTTCGTTAAATACTGATATTAGGTTAAAACTCAATAAGTACGATTGTATATTGATTATAAGAACACAATTTATTTGAGTATTTGTTTATTAGTTATGGATAGGGCGTAATTTTAACATTTTACCCGGGCGTAAAAATTCCTAGTTCCATCTTTGAAACCAAGTACTCTATTATTCTTAGGTGGAAATTTACCCGAATTAATTTTTTCGAAATTTGTGTTTATCTTAAAATATATTTACAAATGTATACATTATATTGATTATATATATATATAAAATCAATATAATATATTATTTATATAAATATTTATTTTTATATATTATCTTTATATTATTCCATTTAACATATGATTTAATTCATACATTCATTAGCTGAAAATTTTTTATTAAAATAAAATAATCTCAAAACTTAATATAAATACTTATTGCATCTTATTTATTTTTTAATAATTATTCGTAGATCTTTATGATTATTATAAGTATTGTACTTGCGTCCCTCGATGTTCACCTAATATTTATTAGTTTGTTGTCTTTACAACTATTACTATTGTAACCTTTGATCCGTATAGTTCAATGTAATTCAATATTTTCATCATGTTTTATACACCCGACTATACAATAAATATATATAACATTTACATTAAATCTTTTACTCGGTTATAAATATTCTTTTATTTTTCTAGAAACTAATGTAATGGTTAATTATTTTCCATGCATTAAATTTGTTTCTTTTAAATCGATAAAATAGTGTTACATTTCGAGATCAAAATTCTCAAGATAACCGAAAGAAAAAAGAAAACTCATGTAGTCTGTTATAAAAGTCAAAGGTTATTTCCACCGTTGATATCGATTGTTCTGAAACCGTGTATACTAAGAGAATAAAAGTGTATTTGCAAGGTTTAGAGAAATTAATTCTTTGGTTAGTGCACCGTATAAAAAAAATCGTACCCAAAAGTACAGTGATACACCTGAACCCAGGTGTATTTTAATCGAATAATTCGAGTACAATGACAAAGCTCCCGACGTATAATCTATATTATAATAACGTTGTGGAAGGTGTGCCCCCTCCCGAGCCGCGCCATCATAAGCGTAGATAACACGACATGGGAAATTATGATTCCGCTGTATACCTCTGATATTTTTTTCTTTGCCTAACCATATATATATATATATATTAGTGTTAATCGGACTAACTACCATCATTAACTGAATGTAAACACCGAATTATATTATAATGGCACTTATCGAAGACACCGATTCCCATCTCGTTACGAATATCGTCCATATCTCGACTGCTGCCGTAGCTACTAGTTAGTAGCGGTACGCAGTGCAGTGTTTCGTTCCATCGTGTAGCATTATATTGTATCGACGCTGTTTCGTATTTGCAACATTACAGTCTTATCGATTACACAGAGCATCGACGATCCTTATGCGCCATGGAAAAAGAATTCATTCCATTGTAAGGATCCGTGAACTTATTGTGCAATAATAACAATAGTTCTCTGTTAATTTCTATTCGCGCGCGCGCACGAGGCTTATATTTGTATTTCTATTCGACATGTGTTTGATATGTAAACCGTTTTGCGTATCATGAATAAATTATACGCGTTAGGCGAGCGTCATCTAAGTTGTTATACATAAATTATATATATAATAATATATATATGTATTATGTAAGAATCGTCTTGTTTTTTTTTCCAGGTTGAGTGAAAACTCCAATTACGGATCCGTTAATGAAGACGAGTTCATGAATACACCACCAACCATGACCGGAGCTTTTGTACGGCAACCGTCCAACAGTTCCGGTAAACAGCTAGTATACTGCATACATGGCAAACCATCCGGCTGTTGTGCCACCTTGGTATCAGCCGAAGACAAAAATTCCAACCACGAGAAACCGGACTTGACGGATGGAAAATCGTCCATAACAATATGTATGTTATCCTTTCATCTCGTCGGTGTCGATTGAGTTATGTACATATTACATGCCTCCTCTCCTCTACATGAAACTATTTTTTTTTTTTTTTTAATTGAAAAATATCAATAATTATATATGATTAGAATCTAATTAAACTTTTTGAAGTATTCAAATATTTTGGTGCACGTTCAAAAAGCTAAACTAACTTATATAACTTGACTTAATTTTATACTGTGTTAATCTATCTATGGAATGTTTTAATTTCATTCGTTTAAACTGTATTTTAAAGATGATTCAAGTAAAACATTGAAAGTTCAAAATCATTTATAAATATGGCGAAATCACGTAATTTTATACATACTATGTATAAAATGAAACTATTCAAGTTAAAACTGTGTTACACGCTATGCTATGCCATGGATGGCCACTTTTAAATTACAATAGTGTTTTTTTGTGTCCTTTATGTCCTATTATGTTTTCTTTATAATATTTGTATGAATGCATGCCTATAATTAACCAATTAAGATATTTTTAAACGTCCGTAATCTTGGAGTTATTTTCCTACTAAATTACCCTAATTTTCCTAGTAAAAACCGTTGATAATTGATCTTAGTGAAATTAAAAAAATAGCGAAACTTAAAAACAGTTTTTGTTTAGAAAGTTTTTAGAAATTTATACTTCCTTAATACTTATAATAAAGTATATACTTTAGTATGTATTTTTCAGATTTATTTTTATATATAATATATATAATAATACAAATTTAAGTTTTTACGTTGTTTTGATTGATAAATAAAAATTAATGAAACCTTGCATTTTGTTCTAGGTATTATAAAATACACTTAAAACTTTAAAAAATATTGTTTATAAAGTGTTTATCTAAAATTTTTTTACCATGCGACAGATAAGATAAAACGAAAAAATTAAATTTATAATAATTTTGCAATTGTAAAAATGATATAATTATTGCTCAAGTTAATACAAAATTGATTAAATTACTATAATTTTCATGTGAATGAAAAAAAATTTTGATTTACTTGATTAATTTAAGGCTTTAAAATAGTGAATATTGTTTGAAGTAAGTATAAAACTATAGTTATTGTTAGTTATCGAAATTATTTTGTTTTAAAAATAATTACCACCGATTAATCTTTCATTTTCAGTCAATGAGCATTGCCATCCTAACCGCGACAGTACATCGGATCATCAAAAAGCTAGACGGAAACTCATATTCGCTAGCATATTATGTCTCATATTCATGGCCGGCGAGTCAGTTGGTAAGTTTCGTGGGTTAAATGTAATATGATAACTGCAGTACTCGAATTGAAAAATTTAAAGAATTACTATATTATTATTATTTATTATTGAAAGAAAAATCAGTGTAGTTTTCGAAAAAATAGTTGGGACATTCTGTCTATCTGTGCTTTCTTATTCCGATTCGGGCACTGAATAGCTTGAGTGCAAATAATTTTTCTGATAATAAAGTTTAGGAAGAATACCTACCGAATAATTAACTTAATAACCGCATGATAGTTATCCATGGTAGAGATATATCACTGCGGACGTAAGTAATCCGTTAAGGGTATTAATTTTTTTTTTCAGGGGGCTATTTGTCGAGCAGTTTGGCAATCGCTACGGACGCTTCGCATTTACTCACAGATTTCGCCAGCTTCATGATATCGTTATGTGCTATATGGGTGGCTTCAAGACCGGCCACGCAGTCGATGCCATTTGGATGGTACAGGGCCGAGGTTTTGGGTGCCTTGACGTCTGTTCTCCTTATCTGGGTAGTCACCGGTATTTTATTATATTTGGCCGTGGAGCGAATTATGAACATGACGTACACAATCGATGCTGACATTATGCTCATCACGTCCGCTGTCGGGCTGTGTGTTAACATTGTGTGAGTTTATGTTAATTTGGTGCACGTATAACGTAACTAAGTTGCAAAATATTTTTAATATGTACTTTGCGCAAAATATTTGAAAATTAGGATCGAAAATACAATTATAATTGAAACGCGTGTGAATTTTTTCTGGAATTTTATAATTTCGACTTATCCATATGTTTGTTTTTTTTCCAAATGAAAAAAAATTTTTATATAATTTAAAGTTGTTGCTGTACAAGGTATTTTTGCAAACAATGTGTTTTCTCAAGTTGAACACAAATGTTTTAAATTAATTTTTGATTTTATATTCCATAACGTACTATAATATATAATGTAAAAATCTCTATTTGTAATAATTAAGTATCGTACTACTAAATATTTGAATATTACACAAGTGGAGTGGTAGGAGATACTTTATTAACCTAAACTTAAAATATTTATGTACCTACTTAACTACTGGCTCGATATTCGATTTATATGAATAGACATTTTCAAAACCGTATTCTGTTGCAAAGCATGACATTAAAACTCATGTTTTTACCATTTAAAATAAATGAAAAATTATTAGGACAAATAACAGCAGGTAAGTGCTATAATTTGTTTGCAAAATGTTGTTTAACGATGACTTAAAGTTGTAAAAATCATTTTTATTTTTCAAGAATACATACATTGACCAGCAAAAGGTGATGTTAGTTTTTTAAAAAAAGAATCACTATATGCATATATTGTACAGTGTAATGTATCATGCAATGGAAAAATAAATGCCAGTAGTAGTTTTATATTATAAAAATGGTAAAATCCAATATAGTGTTATAAAGTGTTATAACTTTAAATGAAAAATAAAAAAATAAAAACAATAATTGTATATAGTTAACCCTAGAATTTATTTACTATCACGTGTGCGTCAGTTATTTCGAATATATCGAATACAATTGAAGCATTTTATGAACCATATAATATAATGAAATCTACTAGATACTATTTACTACGTCCAGAATTTAATCAGCGTTTGAATTGTCGCTATTGTTACAGTATGGGCTTCACACTTCACCAGCACTCGCACTCGCATGGCGGTATCACCTCGCACAGCCATGAAACTTCCGGTCCGAGGAGCACCAATATTAATGTCAGGGCTGCCTACATACACGTTCTTGGTGACATTATTCAAAGCCTTGGTGTTTTGATCGCCGCCGTTGTCGTATACTTTAAAGTGAGTATAAGAAAAATATGTAAAACTTATCACGTTATTATGCATCACGTAGTACAAGTGATGTTTTCGCACTCGTCGAAAGCCTGCACTTGTAATTCCTTGCCGCTGTATTTTATTAAATGAATCATTTCATAATATTTTATTATCTTCTTATCAAAATCGTTGGTGAAGTTTTTTTTTTCATAACCATTTGTAACCAATCATTTTTATCTTGTAATCGTGCACGTAGCCATTTTTTATATCGTCAATTTGTTTGATGTGAACACAATCATCGATTCTTATAACATAAGTCGTGTCCAGATGATAATCATTAACCGTTAATTGCTAAAGTTTTAATACATACAGTCAATAGTGCAGTAGAAATCGGTTGTAATGAATTCAAAGGAATCACACGCTTCAGTTTATCGTGTTGTTTAGATATATGAGTAAAACAGTATCTTTTTCAAAGCTTAACATTAACTTACCATAGGTTAATTTAGGTATGTTTTAATTGTTTGTAAACTACACATGGCGCAAAATTTTGTCACATTTCTAAACACCTGCAATTTTTGCGCAATATTTACTGCAATAAACACGTTATTATCTGTAAGCTGTAGCGGTTATATTTGTGTTGCAATTAATCTAACGTTAGATTATTTTTTTTTTCACGAGTAAAAGTTTATTCTACTTTCGTTTCTATTTGAGTGTTGAAGTTGCTTTCTTTGACACATTAAACCAGCAGATCTCGCCCCTCCTCCATATATTGACTTTTTTTAAATTCTTTTTCAAACGAAAATTTGAATACTTTATCCTTCGAGTTACATAATATGTACAAAATATAGTTGAATTTAATTCGTTAAAAGTATTCGATTTTTTTTTTTTTTTTTTTATCTAAAATATATACAATTATTTAATTCAGTGAAAAAATATGTACGTATAACAGAAAAACATTTACATGGTCATTTTATGGGAACCAAAAGATAAGATATATAGATATATAATATTTATGTACTGTATAAAATTTTAATTCTAGATTAGATTCAGTATAAACGACTTCTACTGTTTTATATTTATAAACAGGAGTATTGAATATATTATTTTCAATAATTACTTGATAAAAATCTGTATAAAATTGTGTAATATTATAGCGTGACAATAACTGGGAAATTAATACAACATAAATTTATTATTTTTCAACTAATGCGATAGACTAACGATCGCTTTTGTTACATTATTTTAAAATCAAATTCATGATAATTGTACTATGTTATTATACGCATATTACCTAACAAACGTGCATATTATACAGTGTAATAATTACATTAACATTAAATTAAATGTATGTTTACGTAAATGTATGAGTGTATGTATGTGTGTAATTAAATACACCGCGCGTTTTGCCTAAACCTTGTACGTGAGTTTTTATGATACTAGACAATTAAAATTAAAAAATAACACACGGACTCACTATATATATAAGTATCCTAAGTAACCCGGTTTGACGGTAGTTGAATTAAAATTTGTCATAAATTGTGTGTATGCAGTAAACCCTTCGTTGTATTATTAAGTATGTACGCTAGTTTTTCATTAATATTCGTTGGCGCGAAATTCATACTGTGACATTGTAATGTTGCGTTAAATTCCTAAACTATTGCATATAATCTATTCAAAGTTAACCTAACCTATGTTCATAGTAATATATACATAGAGTTTTATTCTGAAAAAATGTATGATTTGTCTTGTTCCACAGCCCGAATGGAAAATCGTAGATCCAATATGTACGTTCTTCTTCTCCATATTGGTATTAGTCACCACGTTCAACATACTTCGGGATACTATGATAGTGTTGATGGAAGGTATGCCGAAAGGTGTGAATTTCGTAGATGTACTAGAAACGTTCATGAGCATCGATGGTGTGGTCAGGGTGCACAATCTTAGGGTATGGGCTCTGAGCCCAGACAAAATTGCCTTGGCCGCCCACCTAGCAGTCGGTAAATATAATCACGTTAACCTGTTTGTTGGTGATATTAATATTACCGTTGATATTAATTGTATCAAAAATATTATCGTTGATTTTGTAATATCAAAGCTATAATAGTATTATATACGAGATAATAGCTATGTCCAGTATGATTAAAATATGTGATGTTTTTTTGTTCTGTGTGCAGTACCCGGTGTTAATACGACTGCAGTGCTGAAAGATGCTTCGCGGAGGATGTATAAGAAGTACAATTTCTTCGACTGCACATTGCAAATCGAAGAATTCGAAACCCAAATGGAGAACTGTGTACAGTGCCAACCACTCAAAAGCTGATAAAACTGTTACTCACCGCGTTCCCACCTCACCATTTCGCGATCTCCAAACATGTTTGAAATAATAATAATATTCTATAAAATTTCAAAACCGTGTGCAGATAATATATTTTATAATCAACTGTCAATTTTTCTTTGTGAGAACACCGAATGCGTAGTGGTATAGATACTTTATGAACCTATGAGCAAAATGAATATGTTGTACACTTTGATTTCGATTTACCTATATCTATTATATGTAATTATATTTCATGTGTATAAAATCAGTTTTTAATTGATAGTAAATCATAAGTCATAGTAAATTTTTGATTTTTCAAAACTAAGTACTAATTTTTTAATTTTAATTATTATTATATATTTTCTTTTTATATAATCATTCATATATATGCTACATACATATATATGTAATGTGTGTACAAACTTAAACGAAATTAGAATTAGAATTTTAGAGTAATCCCTATTGTATTTATTATAACCCGATCTTACTCATACAGCTTGTTTCGACAGTTCTCTTTCCTAAAACTATGTTACAATAAATAATTATGTTAAAATATCTATTAAACCATTGAAATATGAGAGTAATAAATTTATATATTGTAATAAATATCATGTATATATACCCGAATAAATAATTAACAAAGCAACATAAGATATAACCTTTAATATGATTAACTAAATAAAGAATTAATTTATTAATTATTAAGAATAATAGTAATATGCATAACATATACATAACATGAACACTAATATTTTCTTGCTGTTCAAATATGAGTAATTATAAGTCTGATGAATAATTATTGTATTTTATAAAATAATATATATGTGTATAACTATATATATAGTTATATATATATCTTATATTTTTTAGTACTTTTCTGTAAAGTATATGTACCTATAGTAAAAAAAAGAAAAAATTTGTCATTAATACTCCTCCACATTTATTTATTTTGAAGCAAGTATCTATATAATATGAATTTTAAATTTAAATTTAAATTTATTTTAAGTAGAAAATACAATGTTCTGTATCAAATATATTATTTTATTAATACATATAATTATGTATATGTTACTATCATAAGTAAATTATTGAAAAAAAACATTTAGTAAATTGTTACTAACTTTACAAAATCGAAATAATCTTTTATTTTTTGGATTTACCGATGTATTCAATAGTGTGTAGATATTTTGATACAATTGAAAGTTCCATTTTCAGAATATGTAATATTATGTACACTGTATCACTATTATCAACATACTATAAAGCATTTTTAATCCAGGGAAGCTTTGACAAAAACATGTACTGTTAAATGTAAGAAAAGAAATACAGGAGTTAGTAGTTATTTACCAACCATCATGTTGTATTCAATACTAATTTAAAATTTTTAGATTTTAAATTGAATAAGAATATAGTTTATAGGTATAAATATAATTTTGAATGAATGTGCCATTTAAAAATTGGTGTACACTACTTATCTCAGATTTAAAAAAACATCCTCAATTTCTAAAAACTTGTATATAATGTATGTATAAAAAGTATTCGTCTATGAACACATTCGTTTTTAGATTAAAAATACTAATATAGAAATGTATTAATTTTCATTATTGTATGAACAATTAACTTTACCTATAGTACATTCGTCTAAATGATTCATCAGGTCCCTGTCATAGCACATACAGAAAATATCAATACTTTCATTTTTCGAAGTTATAATAATTTCATAAAATCAACTGTTCTTATAATGTAACCATAATCATTACTATCGACCTATCAACTAAATCAGAATGAAGTGGAAAAAAAAACTACGACGTAATTCCAAAGAAATCAAAATATTTTTCCTTGTTTATAGAACATGGTAGAAATGGTAAAATAATAATTGTTATAAGCAATTTTATACATATTATACTCACTAATAAATACACTATACACTAAATTCCGGTTTTCATCCTTTGAACTTTAAGATGTTGCAGGTGCGAATGGTTTACTGAACGATGTAATTTTATTTTATAATCTTGTACTGTTAAAATTACAAGATAATAAAATAAAATTACATTACTACATACTAACTTGGTAATTACACAATGAAAATAGAAGAAAAAATAATAATAATAAAAGTAAAAAAATTATAACAAAAATCTTTGGAAATAAAATAATTAATCATTGTATGGATAAGGAAATTGAAGATTGAAAAATATTGGAAAGAAAAAGAAACTTATAAGCAAGAGCAGGATAGTTAAATAGAAGATATAATGAATTAATAAAAAGAAAAAATCCATGTTATCGATACTTAAAATCAATAACATTTTAAAAAAATACGAACATTTTCTACGTCGATTGTATATTCGATTTAAAAACCATTTTATTCTTGTCTTCACTCTTTAGTATGTATGCTAATCTCAATGGTAAAAGTAATATTATAATTCATAACGAATCCTGACGAGGAAAACAACTATCCACAAATAAATAAACCACACAGATTATTTTTAAGAATAAGTTGTTAAGATGCAAAAAGAAAGCTTATGATCAAATGAAATAGTGTAGACCTAGAAAATTATGATCACCTCAAGTACCTTGGAGTTCATTTAGATCGAAGCCTAACGTACAAAATACACTGCGAACAGACGAAGGCCAAAATAAGTGCAAGAAACAATATACTACAAAAGCTGGTGGGTAGCGAATGGAGGAGAGACCCTCACGCCCTACGTATCGCCACTTTAGCATTATATTTCTCAGCAGGGGAATATGCATGCCCAGTCTGGAGCAGATCAGAACATGCAAAAAAGTAGACATTTTGCTGAATGAAGCGACCCGTTTAATAATAGTATGCCTGAGACTCAGATCAGGAGAGAAGTGTATTCCAGAAAGGAAAAAATGAAGCGATTAATGAATGAACGACACCCAATGAATGTAACCATTTTTTCTTTCATAGATGGGTATATTTTTGTTTCACCTTCCCCCAAATAGTTTCAACTGTTTTTCGCTTCTGCGTTTATCATCGAGATCCGTTGGAAAACCATCGATCCTAAATCGTTTCTCCTCCTTCTCACCACTGTTTCCGAACCGTGATTAATCCACTGCGCGTTAGTATGAACAAGTGTGGACGAATAGCAGTGTCCGATTGTCGTCCATCATTTCGAAATGCTTCGGAGAACTGATCGCGCATACCGCAGTCACAAGTTCACGGGGCACCCGAACAGAAACAAACGCGACGTTTCACTCGCGTCATGCAATACCTCACGAGCTCAGTGGACCGTTTCCAGAACGACCGTCCCCAGGGTCTGGTCGTCGTCTTCGGACCGCCGCGGCCGCGACGGTGTTGCACGCCGCTTGACGAACCGACGGTGATAAGATCGGCGTCCGGCGGCTGCGGATAATCGCAACGGCACAACGACGGCACGGCTACCGCGTCCGTGTCGGCGCCTCGCTGCGGTCCGATGGCTCCGTCCACGACGTCACGGCTGGCGGCGGCGTTCTCACTACGGGCCACTGCGATCGGCCGCTGCGCACTTGTCGGTCGGTTTTCCAACGCGACGTCTGTCGTCACTCCGGGCATCGGTGACCAAACGGTGGTCAGTGGTACTGCTATTGTACTCGCACGTATATTACGTCCGCTATTCGCTTGGAGGAAAAAGAAAAAAAAAGACCAAATATTTACCGTACCGCAAAAATTGTAATTTTGTTGCGCCCGAGTAGCCCAACGGTTCCCGACTTTATCCGTGCAATTCCTTGTACGATAAAAAATACACAATCACGCCTCCCGCGAATACGCGTTAGACAAAATACACTTATCGCGATAATAATTGAATAATATCGAGCCGACCGTTAATTTTACAATAAACATTCAAACGTGTATTTTTGCTCCCTGTACGGCATTGCGGTCTAAAAATAATTGAACGCAATTCTTACTTCGTGCACATCCTATTATGGTGCTCGCGCTTCTCATAAAGGGTTGGGTTAGGAACTGGGTTCAACGGTCGAAAGTACGTTTTGTACATTATGTGCAATTAGGGACAAATGTATACTCTAAGCGCAATTCACTAAAACAATACACACACATACAGAGTCTACAGGGGTGGACTGAATAATTTTCCGACCTCGGTCGCTATACGCAATCCGTAAGTTCGTGCAGTTAAGAAATAAATCCAAAACATCGCAATGTGACGTGGAAAACATATTATGAAAAAACTGTTTATATCTCGGTATAATTCTCTCGATGTGATTCGAAGTTTTTCTTTCGGACTTTTCTTAAATCGAAATCTGGTGCTGCTATTTAATAAGAAATACGTATATTAGGATAATGCCCTTATGCACATTATTTTCCCAAAACGTATTTGCGCTTGTTTAATCGTAATTTCATTACAGCCTATAATTAGATCCGATTTTCAACAGTTTGTTTTTTAGCATTTAAGATTTCATAAAACACCTATAAAAGCAATATATTAATTTTTATTTGTTTCCTACATGCGTTGAAATTGATACTCGCAATATAAATAATATATTGTGTTTTGAACATTTTCAAGTGGTGCATATTGTTGAAAAAATTTAAAAAAAAAGAACTTCTTAATTCATATTATAATTATCTAATAGTTATCATTAATACGGTTATGATTTATTGGGTATACTAGTCATTTGATTACTGATATTATTGTTCAGAACATTAATGTTTGGTACATTGATATAACTGTCCAATCATAGTTACACAACATATATTAACGGCACATAATAATTTCTTACCTCGTAGCTAACTATGGTTGTATAGTAACTGTTGTGGATGTTGATACTCTTAATAATGATTATGGAAAAAAAACATATGGTATTTCTTGTTCCGATCAGTCGACTTCATATGCACCACTTGCCGGTAACCGGACGAGCGAACTTTCTGTTTAGACACCGAGGCCGTCGAAAAATTAGACACAAAAGCAAACGCGACCAATTTTCATAGCGGTTTATCAATCAGGTGCCTTATCATTATGTAGAATTACGTTACAAAGATAGCAGCACTTCGTTTGACTTTTTTGAGTACCAATAAAATAGCTTCCACTTAATACAATATCGTTATTTTGTTGATTTTCTTCATAATGATAACTTTAAATAAAATAAAACAGTTCGTTTACATTGAAATGTTAATCGGTGTATTGTCAAGTGTACAGTTAAAATTCGAGATACACAGCGATCATTGCTTACATTTTTTTTTTTTATCGCAATATAATAGTATAGTATAAAATAAATAAAAGTATATAGTATAAAAGTATAGTATAAATAAAATAGTATCCATTCATCAGAAATATTGGAGAGCATAGTATTCTTCAGCACAAGGTTTTACTT